ATCATATGTGAGACAATAGAGAAAAAAGATCTTGATTTTACCCTTGAAATTTCGTCAAACAGATAGTGTGCAATATGTGTAACGCCCGTAGATCAGGGCTAGTCAATTAAGAGACAATAAGTGTCGAAAACGACTTTTTGATAGAAGATTATTTAGAATGAAAAGTCTTAATAAAATTCGTAGTATATGTTACAAGGATTCCGGATATATAAAGAACGCTGAAATCCGAGTTATAATGAACAAGTTATGAATTTTTAACGGATTTTTTCTGTCCCGGTCTGTTAAAAATAATAATGTTAAAATTAAATTCAAAATTAGCCGACGAAGTCTAAACGAAAGTTGTAGAGCATAATTTTACCTACGCGTGCATATAAAGAACGTAAAAAACGGAGCTCGTATGCGAAAGTTATGGATTTTAGAAGTTTGGGACGCAAAATTCGAGAAAAATGCTAAAACCGAGGAATTTCGCATGGCTGGGGTTCGGCCACGTCACCTCGCATGGATAAGGTCCGATCTCGGTGAGTCACCCACCCCGTGTCCGATCAGATGACGAGTCCGATGTGTGGTCCGGTAGAAATCCGACGCGTGTCGCATACGTGGTGTATCCGAGGCGAGCCACGTCTCGCCTGCGAGCTTCCGACGCGCGTCCCACCCCTCGCATCCGAGCCTCGCATCTGCTGCCGCATGGAGCCCTCTCAGCCGTTGATCTTCGGTCTCGCACCCTATAAAAGGGGGGGTTGCGAGATGTCCCCGGTAATGTTTGATTTTCCCCCTTTTTCACCCCTAAACTTTATTTTAAGCCATTTTTAATCCCCCGAAGCCCCAGAATCATTTCCAACACCCGAAATACGTTCCGAAGTGCCCGAAGAGCCCGATAAATTTATCTTTTCGGTTTGAAGCTCAACCTTCGCAAGACCCGGTTTTTCATTAAAGCTCCCGGTTTCATCGGAAACGATCATTTTAGGAAACGAGGTGTTGCCCGATTATCATTAGATCAAGTAAGTGTATAGTCACTTTCACCTTACACATAGATATGAAGTATTTTATATAAAATATATGCTATGTGTATATATGTTGTTTGTTTATTTGAGATAGATGTTGAATGATTGTTTTATACAGATTTTAAATTGTTATGTATTTTATATCTACAAATATGTTGGGTAAAACATGGATAGATGAAAGA